GCTCCCGTGTGCGGGGCCCTTGGGGGCTATCTTGGGCACGTGTCGCTCCGCCCTCTCTCTCTCTCTCTCTCTCCTCCTGCTCCTCCTTCTCCTCCTCCCTCCTCCTCCCTCCTCCCTGCTCCCTCCTCCTCCCTCCTCCTCAACCTCCTCATCCTCCTCCTCGCTCCGCGCTCTCTCCCAGTTCAACGACGACGGTAACAACGGTAACGACAACGATCACAACGACAACGATCCCACGGCAACGATCGATGTCGTTGTCGTTGTGATCGTTGTCGTCGTTGTCGCTATCCTTGTCGCTATCGTTGTCGTTGTCGTCGTCGTTGCTAGCGTTGTTGTCTGTCGCTGTGATCGTGCCTCTCGCGCTCTCGCTCCCTGAGGTTCGAGTGCGGTGTGGCTGCCCCGCCCCGCTTCCGCAGCAGTTCTCGTTTCCCCGCCTCCTTTCCATCCCTCCCCTCCCCCTGGGCATCGCTCGGACGTGTGCATTTTTCCTTCGGCGAGGACCATCGAGGAGCATCCTTGATCATTTGGCGAAGAAGCCACGCACGAAACCGAGAAAAACACATGGAATGGACGTCCGAGCGATGGCGAGCCCCCCCTCCTGCTTTTGCCATTCGTCCTGCCTTGAGAGCCGTGCGCCCTCGATCCGTGAAGCTCTTGCAGACGTTGGAGACGAACGGGCGCGGCGCCCGGGCGGGCGCCACGTGTTCAACACCGCCCGCCCTCCATCCATCCGCAAAACCCTTGCAAACTCTTGAGGCGCACGTGCGCGGCGCTCAGGGGGGAGCCACATGCTGAACTTGTCAAGCTGGTGCACATTTCGTGAAGCTGTTGCACCTTTCGAGCCGACGGGTCGTACGTGGTGAGGAGGTACGAGGCGGAACGCCCTGCCCTCCATGCCGTCACGTCTCGGGGTTTGACGGGGAGGAGCTATTCATTGGGAAATCGGATGGAGGAGGGAGAGGGTGCCACGGATGATGATGATGATGATGATGATGATGATGATGATGATGATGATGATGATGATGATGATGATGATGATGATGCTGATGCTGATGCTGATGCTGATGCTGATGCTGATGCTGATGCTGATGATGATGATGAAAATGATGATGAGGATGATGATGATGCTGATGATGATGATGATAATGTAGAGGGGGAGGAGATCATGGAAGGTAATATGGTTAAGGAGGGTGAGGACAACGTCGAGGACAACGACGATCATGAGGAGGATATTGAGGACGAATGCAGTAACGACTTTGGATATGGCGATGATGCTGATGTTGATGATGCTGCTGATGATGATGATGATACTCATGATGACGATGATGATGACGACGGCACTGTTTATGATGGCCGCCGCGAGGACGACGACAATGATGATGGTGGTGGTGATGATGATGTTGATGATGATGATGATGATAATGGTGAATGTGATGGTGCTGGTGATGGTTTGGACGATGATGGTAATGGTGATGGTAATGGTGATGGTGATGATGATGGTGGTGATAATTATGGTGATGGTAGTGGTGGGCGACGGCGAGCACGTGCACTGGCATGGAAACGATCCGATCCCGGCGACGATGACGACAAGGACGAGGACAAGGAGTCGACGGATGTACATACGTAGGAGGAGGCAAAGGAGGAGGAGGAGGAGGACCAGAAAGAGGAGGAGGATGAGGATGACGGGCAGGACGAGAGGGGGGGGAACAGTGGCAGGAGAGGGAGGACGAGGACGGGGAGTGTTCGGAGAAAAAGGATGGCCGGGCTTAAGACGGGGACAGGGGTAGAAGGAAACGTATCCGGATTGAGAAGAAACGCATGTGGTCACGGACTTGGAGCAGGAAGGGGGAGCGAAACCATTACCCCGTGCCTCTCAGGTGCTGCTGCCGCACATCGACAAGGCGAACACCATTCTGAGCCAGGAGTGTGGCCGGCGCCGAGGCGAGAGCGCCACCACTTTTAGCCAGGACTTCTCCCAGTCTCCTCCCTGTTCGTGACCTCATCCATCGCCCGCTTCTCTTCCCATCCTCTTCGGTGCCCTCCTCCTCTCCCTCCCATCCTTCCTCCTTCCCATCGCCCCAATCATCTCCGATCGCTGCTGCTTCTGAGAGCTGCCGAGGGCCCCTCGGCCCCCCCAGGCAGTCGCAGTGGGCCCCCACCCCGCGGTGATTGCCTGCAGAGAGAGTTCGTGTGGGGCTTTCGGCGCCAGTGGCGGCACCCTGGCCACCACCGCACAACGGGGCTTATTCATGCCCCGTTGCCCATTCGTCATCATTTGGTTGTTTCCGGAGTTGTTCCTGTTCACTTGAACAGGGATCCTGCTTTGAGCATGTCGAACGCTTTGGCCCAACCCAGCATTAACAGACTGAAGCCACCGTGTTTGTTGTTATGTGCAGTTTCGATCATACGCCGGGGAAGCATGAGCGCATCTGCTGTCCCACGCACGGGGCGGAAACCAAATTGAGATTCGCGCGTGCGGGTTTCAGCAACACCGCGAATCAGGCGTTCGTGTAACATCGAAGTGATCATTTCATACCCAACTTGTAACACTGAAAGGGTACGTCGTTTTCCGGCAGCGCCATACTTCATTTTGTCCCAATAAATCCGAACTACGTTCGCTCGCCTCCAAGAGTCTAGAATTGGTTTTTGATCCCCACATGTCTGACATAAGTGAAGACCAGTGGCATAAGCGTCCCAGTGCGAACCCAAGATCGTCCAGAAATCTGGGGGATGCCGTCCCAGAAGCTCTCCCAAGACGTAGGCGGCGTCAAGATATCGTGGCCTCGGGGGTCTGGGCTTTCGGAGGAGGACAAGGGACAGCTGTTCCCACAGAGCGTCTCGCTGGAGTTGCGTCGGGCCTGTCCTTCCACAGGGGGAATATTCAAAAATAGTTTAAAATAAAAAAATAGGCGGGACGATTTTTTGACTATTTTTGAATATTTGGGGGGGGGGGTATGTTTTGAGTATTTGTTCTTTTTCGCCCAAAATCCCCCTGTAGGGGGACACGCCCGACTTAACGCTAGAGGTGCTAGTGGGTAGCCAGAGCCTTGGGGCCGTCCAGGAGTCTGGGAGCGGGCACGTTCCAGGCGGGCAGGTTTGAACCATTCCGACCAGCAGGAAGGGCGGGCAGGTTCGAGGCGCTGGGTTCAGGAAGGTTTTTGTTGCCTCGTTCGGCCTCTGGGGGCCGTTTGCGGCCCCCAGGACTGAGAAACTGATTTGGGGTGCGAAATGCCACATGGAGCCCAGGACTGGTTCGGGGACCGATTTTGACTTGATTTGGTTTCATCCGCCCTCCTGGCCGAACTTTTGAGGTCCCAGTTCAGATCCCTCGGCCGCCTCCAAGCAAAGAGGCCTCCAGGGGCCACAGAAGAGCCCCATGAGGACGGCCGGTCAGGCAGCCGTTTCGCTTCTGATTTTCTCACCGTTTGTAAAGGAATCTCGCTCGCGCCTCACTGCTGTTGCATTTTTAGTCGAGGCGGCCACGATCTTTCGGGCGAACGTATCGCGCCCAACCTACGTTTTCGGTCTACGCGCTGAGCTCGTATTACCACGAATCCCCTCCCGTTCTTGCAATCGTAGGCCGGCCCTGCAAACTCGGGGACGCCTTTGTGTCTTGTCCCTTGGCGCTTCTAGTGCCCCACCCTGTTCAGGCCGCGCTGCCTTCGGAAGGGGCACTGTGCCCTCTCGGGTATCCTCCGCGGTTGGTGTCGGCTGCACTCCTCCTCCTCCTCCTCCTCCTCTTCCTCCTCCTGTTCCTCCTCCTCCTCCTCCTCCTCCTCCTCCTCCTCCTCCTCCTCCTCCCCCATCTCCTCCATTCCTTTTCCTTATAGATATTCCTCCCTGTCGCACCCCGAGGCCGGTCGAAAGGGCGGGCCGGGCGTTTCGCCTGAGGATTCGTCACCATTTATGATCCTGAAGCTTAGGCAGTGGCAGCAGTTTTACATATGGAGGGAGGGTTGCTTCCAAATGTGGCTATCGTTGAAGCGCAGCGCACATTCCTTTTAAACATGTACCAGGCCTTCACGGATTGAGGGCGGGTGGTTTTCAAATTGTGGTTCTCACCTTTACGCCACGCACATTCGTTTTATCAATTTTCCAGAGTTTTATTGATTATGTTCAACATGTGTATCTCGCCTCATTGCCGCGCACATTCGTTTTTTCAATTCGCAAGGGCTTCACGGCTTGAGGGCGGGTGGTTTTCAAAATGTGGTTCTCGCTTTAGCGCCGCGCACACACGTTACACAAACATGCAAGAGATTCGTGAATTCAGGGCGGGTGGTTTTCAACATTTGGCTCTCGCTTCAGCGCCGCGCACATTAGTTTTAGACAGTTGCACCGGTTACATGGAACTTCATGGCTCACGTACCAGGAAAGGTGTTTTGGATCGATTCAGGACTATCAGGGCGCAACCGCTACACTGATTCGCGGTGTTGAAGTCCCAGGGTTGGTTTTCTGGCACGAGTCAGGATCGCCAATACGTACCAGTCATGTTAACTCGTGGCGTTGAAGTCATAAGAATCTTGGTTTGGCACGCTTCAGGACCTTGAAAAGGTCATCCTCCTACTGGGCAATTAATTCCCTGAGTGAGAATGAGCCCTTGTCGGGACCTGTGAAGAGGGAGCTTGGGGGGAGGGTGTCTTCCAACATCGTTGATTGGCCTTGGGTTTACACTGGTCGTCGTCCTCCTCCTCCTCCTCTTCTGCCTCCCTGTAGTTTTTTGTCGGAGGCTTAGAGGTTAGCACAAACAATATCAGCAGTGTGCCTCCCCCGAAACCAAAAGATGATCGCGATCTCGACGATCGTGGTCGTCTTCGGCATCTCTGGGTGGCCGAAGGATTGCCCACAGCAGCAACATCTAGGATCATCTTTTCCCGATGGAGGCAACCCCCCTGTGTTGGTGTGGGGGCCCTTCTCCAAGCCTCCAGCGTTGTTCCTCCGCTGTAGCCGCCCCGGCTCGGGGTCCTCGAGCTTGTGCCGCCCGGCTCGCCTGGGGGCGCACTATGGGCGCCCTGGCTTCCAGGGCAGCCTCGGTCGTTCCCACGGGCGCGGCGGGCGAGGTGCCTCGGTCTCCGCTCCCCGACGATGTGGCGGGAAGGGTTCGCCGCTGTGCCAGTGCGCGGGATGGGCTCATGGAAGAGCTGCAAGAGCTGAAGGACAGGGGCATGTGGAACCCGAGGAACCCCTCGCACGCCAAGATAGCCATCTGCGCCGCAGAGGCTTCTGGTCACGTGCTGAGGCTCCTCGGCACCTTCGACATGATGGTGTCCAGGGCGCTTGCCGCGCCTTACTTCGAGAACGCGACCTCGCAACTCCGAAAAGGGCTGAATCGTTCGGAGACGCCCTCATTGAAAAATTGGACGCCGCCGCTTGATTTCTTCCCAACTTTGCTGGCAAATTTCATCCGGGTCGACCACCCTGCCGTCGACGACATGATGGAGAAACTAGTTGTGGAAAAACAGATGCTGCTGACGAGCACAGAAGGAGATTTCGAAGCCACAGCATTAACTCCGACGATTAATTTCCCCGAGCACCTCGGCATGCTCTACATCTTTCGTGATCCGAACTTGGAAAGAACGAAGGAATTCGAGTTCGATCCGGCAGCAAAAGTCGTGACCTATGACAACCGAGAAGCGTACACGAGCGATGTAGCTAAAATTACACTTCCCAAGGAGGACCGCCGGGTTGCCCTCATTCCCGAGAATGCGACTCGGTTTGCTTATGTCTACTCGTGTGACTGGCTCAAAGATGGGGGATTCCTGTATGTCGATGACCAGGACATCGTGCGGGGCGTGAATGCACTCAGCTTCGAGGAAGGTTTTTTCGGATTTCAATTCAAGGCCCCTGAAAAGCTGAAGCAGGTAGATGAAATCATGAAGCCGGTTGACGGGTCTTGGCATGAGGTCTCCGTTGACCAACTCAAGCAGCAAGGTGCAACACATTACAAATGGATAGTGCCGAGTGATGGTCAAGAACACGATGGTGGTTTCGCATATCGTTTTAAAGATGCCGAAGACATCTTCTTTCCAATATCCAGTTGTCTGCGGCATGTCCCGCCACCCTGTTCAAGGGTGGGAGAGTCTCGATTATGATGGTAGTGATAACTATAACGATAATGATGCTGCTGCTTCTGATGATGATGATGTCGATGATGATGCTGAGGATGATGATGATGCTTATGATGATGATAATGATGATGCTGATGATGATGATGGTGGTGGTGCTGGTGGTGGTGGTGATAGTCATAGTGAGTGTGATGGTGATGATTATGATGGCGATGATGATGGTGGTGATGATGATGCTGAAGGTTATGTTGATGATGGTGATGGTGAGGATGATGATGATGATGATGATGACGATGATGATGATGATGATGATGATGATGCTGATGATCGTGATGATTGTGATGGTGGTGATGATGCTGATGATGCTGATGCTGATGATGGTGATGGTGATGGTGGTGATGATGTTGAGGTTGATGCTGTGGCTGATGATGGTGACGGTGGTGATGATTATGATGATGCTGATGATGTCGATGATGATGACGACGATGATGATGGCGATTATGATGATTATGATGATGATGCTGATTTGATGATGATGATGATGATGCTGATGATGATGATGGCGCTGATGAAGGTACGGGTAGTGATGATGATGATGATGATGATGATGATGATGATGATGATGATGATGATGATGATGATGAGGATGAGGACGGCGGTGTTGGTGGTGGTGGTGCCGGGGAGGAGGAGGAGGCGGAGGAGCAGGAGGAGGAGGAGGAAGGAGGAAGAGGAAGGCGAGGAAGTAGGAAGAGGAAGGCCGTCACATCTCGCCTTTACTATTTGAGGAGCTCTCATGGAACTCGTTTGGGCCGTCTTGGGGGTGTCCTGGCCTCCTGCGAGGCAGTCTTCGGGGACCCCTTGAGGCGCTCCTGGGCCGCGTTAGGGGCCCTCTTGCGCCGTCTTGGGGCTCTCTTTGGCCGTCTTGGAGCCCTCTTGGCCGCATACAGCCGGGGCGCTAAAGAAGGAACGCTTTTCGTTGGGGAGGGGCTCCGCGTTCCTTAGGTGTTTCGCAGCTTGCCTCAGATTTTCCTTATTTTTTCGATCGGAATCGAAGTTTAATGTATGGAAAAAAGGGGCCTCGTTCCTTATTTTGGGTTCCTTAGGTCAAGGCCCCGACTGCAGTGGATGTCTGGGTGCTGTCGTGAGGCCGTCGAAGGGCCTTCTACGGCCGTTTGGTGTCCCACAGGAGGCCCTCCTGGGCCGTCTTGGATGCCTCTTGCGCCTTCGTGGGGCCTCTTGGGCCATCATTGGGACCCGGCTGGAGGTCTCTTGGGCCGTCTTCAGGCCATCGTACAGGCGTCTTGGGCAGTCTGGAGCTGACGGAAATCCGAAAAGGCGAGAATGAGCACCTCATTCGAAACACCGGGAAATCAATGATTTTGGCGTCTTCGGACCCTGTTGGAGGTCCTCATGTGGCTCTTTTAGGGTCCTTCGGGGGGCAACTTGGGCCGTCTTGAGGCCATCTTGGGCCGCCTCGGGGCCATCTTGGACCGTCTTCGAGGTATCTTGGGCACTCTTGGTGTCCTTGACTACCTGCATGTGCCGTCCTGGATGCTCGCGACGCAGATCCATCGTGTTTAACAAGGGATCGTGGCCTCTGGAGCGTGGGCCCATGATTTTTCCACCAGATTTTGGCCTTGGGAGGGGGGGCGGTGCATGCAGATACCGCGAGCAGGGGGGCGTCTCTTATTATACTGCAGAAGCCCTACCAGACGCCTCAACGTGCACAAGACACGGTGGCGGACGGAGGTGTGGTCAGCTGGTGAGTAGCGGGTTCGTTGGGCCCGAGATCAACGCGCGTGAGATTGAGAACGAGAGCAAGGACGACGCATCGGTTGCCCTGCCCGCCATCATCTGCCCCTGGTGGTCATGTTGGAAGCAGCCGCCGAAGGACCTCGTGGAGCAGGCCATGATAGCCGGCAGGCCCGTGAAGTTTGCCCGCCTTTCGATCCCTCAGGCCGTTCATCCGAGCCTCCTGTATGCGATAAGCGTCGCTCCCCGCGCGAGCGTCGCAAACTCTCTGGCAGCGAAGGCGATCACCAGCGCAGCTTTTCGCAGAATCGCCCCGTGGTATGCGTTGGACTTCGTTGTCTCGCTCTGCAGGTTCTTTATCTTGACGCAGATGGCGTGCCTCGTGAGAGACTACGACGACGAAGTAGTAGATCTCATCACGCCCAAGCTTCCCGGGGCCGTCTGCCGTATCTGCCTTGCACTGTTAGGTGCTAAGGTTTTCGTTGGTGAGCTCATCCTGCTGAAGTGCTATCGAAGACGCCTACGGCGAATCACCGCCGCCCCCTGCCTTTGTGGAAGCGTCTATGTGGCCGAACGTTGAGGCCAGACCTGCCAAGCTATCGGACCATGTGTTCCCCGAATCGGTTTGGAAAGCCTTCGGGGAACGCGTGGGCATCTTTAAGGTCATCTTGGCCGCCTGGAGGCCATTTTGGCCCTTTCAGGCCTTCTTGGAGGACGTCTTGGAGGGCTCTTGGGCCATGTTGGGGGCCTTTTGGGGCCGTCTTGGGCCTCATGGGCGATCTTTGGGGGCATTTGGGCCGTCTCGGGCCGTCGGAAGGCGGAAACAAAGCAAATGTCACAATCCTTCAAAAACGCATGGGATATCAATGATTTGGGCCTTTTCGGGCCTTCCAGGGAGGCCTCTTGGAGGCCTCTTGGGCCGTCTTGGGCCATCGTAGTGCCATCTTCGGCCGTCTTGGTGAGCCCTTGGCCCGTCCGACGCCGACGGAAGCCGTTTGGGGGGGCCTCTCTGAGCCGATTTGGGGCTCTCTTGGAATGCTCCAGGGCCGTCTTGGAGGCCATCTTGGGTGTCTTAAACGCCTCCTGGGCCGTCTTGGGGGCCGTCTTGGGGGCCTCTTGGGCCGTTCTGGGGCCATCTTGGAGGCTTCTTGGGCGATCCTTGGGCGATCTTTGGGGGCTCTTGGGCCGTATCGGGCCGTCGGAAGGCCGAAACGAAGCAAATGTCAAACTCATTCGAAAACATACGGGACAGCAGTGTTTGGGGCCTTTTCTGGCCTTCTTGGAGGCCTCTTGGAGGCCTCTTGGGCCGTCTTGGGCCAGCTTCGAGCCAGCTTCGGCCGTCTTGGTGGGCTCCTGGCCCGTCTGACGCCGTCGGAAGCCGTTTGGGGGGCCTTTCTGGGCCGACTTTGCAAGTGGTATACGGAATTGCGCAGTGGTATCTTCTTCTAGCTCTTTTCCTTGAACTCCTCAAGCTCAAGTTCGACTCGTCGAGCTTCCATGTCTATCCGCGCCTCTGAGCGCAAGCGAGGGGGCGCTAGGGCCCAAAAGGGCAGCAGCACACATATGGATTGGCCCTACAAAACACCTCATTCATTCATCTTATAATCTCCCATCTCCATGCTCAGGCTTGCTCCGAACCAGATCTGCACGGATAAGGATCCTCCAAGTTGAGCATGCTATCTTCATCTGACTCATCGCTCGAGATGGCCTCGTACTCCGGGAACTCCTGATTAGCTGCTCCAGAGGCTGGCTCCCTCGATGACTCTGAGCTCCTCACGACCTCCTGTGGAACATTCTCGAATGGAAGGATCCCTGCTGCCTTCCGTTTACGTGCAATCTGGTACTTGGCGTCGTAGACCAGCTTCCAGCGATGGCCGCTGCTGAAGTACATCCTTAGCTGTCCTGACTCGTGCCCCTTGGTCAGGGAGTTTGCCAGCTGGGCATCACCATGGACCCAGAGCATCCAGTTGTTGGCGGCCTGGGTCCGCTCCTTCAGTGTCATCGTCTCCACGTCAGTCCGCTTCTCCTTGCCACGGAAGGTGCAGACTGTGGTCTGGAGCTTGTCGTACAGGCCCTTGGCATCCACCACGACGGCCCCTGGCAGCTTGGCAAGTGTGTCCTCCGGGTTGCGCCAGTTGATGTTGTTGCCTAGCATCTCGAGCCACTGCAACTTGATACCGAACAGCTCGTCCTCCGCATCTGCGACATCCTCGGTCGATCTTCCCCGAGTTCCAAGACACCAGGATCACGTCGGTCTCGTCACCCTTGAGGATCTTCACAGGGGCCATGCCTGCGACCAGGCCCTTGCTGGACTTCCCGTCGGGCCGGTTCGACTCGGACGAGTCGGACCACTCAATCGGCACCAGCACCTGGGCCTGTGAGTGGCTATGGATCACCAACGGCAGGTCAGCACATTCTCGCACTCGGTCGACCAGCCTGTTCGTCTCGTTGATGGTCTGCACCGTGGACGAGGGAATGGTGCTCAGCAGCAGGCTTGTGTCAGCGGAATGCATTGGGCCAGACTGCTACGAGCGCCAGCCGACGGCGCCCAGGATCGCCCTGAGCTGGCCCTTCTCCCGGTCAGTGGTCTCTGCTTCCTTGTTCTTCTTGCGTTCGGGGGTTAGGAAGGCCTTCTCTATGGTCTTCACATATTCATTCCGGTCCATGCGGAAGCTCCTGTCGGGCTGCTGCTTGATCTTCACTCCGGTCTGCATGAACTCCTCCGTCTCCCACGTCTTCTAGTTACTTGAAACGCCCTTGAATCTGCTCTCGAGCCCTGACCCATTGCGGATCATATTCCTTGCCGCGCAGCAGGGAATCGTCTACGTGCGACCCGGCGACCGCCACGATGTCAAGGTCGCCCTTCGCTGCGACCAGCACATCGAGCAGCTCTGGGTCAATGAACTCCTGCAGCGCCTCCTTGTTGAAGCTGTTGTCCCGGCCGTGCGCGTCGCCGTATAGCACCCAGACGCACGGGTCCATCTTCATTTGGGTCCAGCCGAACTTCGTAAGTGCCTCGCCCACCGTCATGAACCACTCAATGGCTGCCTCGACGAGCCCGTACACGGCCTTCCGGAGCCTCATGGCGACACCCTCGGGCAATCCAAGCGCCGTGGCCAACTCCTTCACGGGCATCACGAACAGGTTGTGCTGAGTCTCGCGGTTCTGGTTGAAAGCTCCAGTCACGTCCGCCTTGTGCCCCTTGAAGCCAAGCCGCGACATCATCTGCAGCAGCAGGTGTCTGGAAGCACGCGTCATCGTTGGAGCTGTGGTCGAGCGATGCTCGTACTCGGGGTCCATGTAGCCCAAGACCACGATCCTCGCCTTTGCCTTCTTGTCGCCAGTGCTCTCGTCGATCTTCCACTCCAGGATCCACCTCATACGCATGACCTCCTCAGGTGGCGGCGTGACTCCGGGAGGCAGGGTCTCGAGGACTAGTTGTTCACCTCTGAGGCCTTTGCCTTGTTGAATCTGTCCAGCTCGTCTGGGTTGAGGGTCCGCTCAGAGATCTCGCGCTTCCCCTTTCTCAACTGGCTCGCCATGTAGGTGCTCATGTGCCTGGGGGCGTGCCTCAAGGCCTTGCCGGCGAGGGGGAGCTCCATCGAGGCTTCCAGGGGCGTCCCTTGTCGTGCCCAGAAAGCACGGGCATCAGGAGTCGCCGTCGCCATGAGTGCCGCCTGCTCCTCCAGGTTCTTCTCGGCAATGGCTGCCCTGGATGTCCTGGCCCGGTCTGCAGAGCCTCCAGGATGCTGCCCCTTCTTGTGGATCTGCTTCCGCACGGGGGGGGCAGGCCGATCCCTTGGGGTCACCTGGGGACCCTTGTCTTCGACTAGCTCTGTCGTGCGAGTCCTCGTCAGAGGTGGTGCTGGATCAGGAACCCCTTCCCAGGTCGAGAACTCTACGTCGTGCTCTTTGGGATCGTGCCCTGTGAAGTCCAGGTACTCCTGCCGCATCGCCTGGTTCATGAAGGTGTTGATAGTCCAGGGGGTGTCCTTGCCTCCCATGAGCTCGGCGTACGCTATCTCTCGGGCGGAGGCGGCTCGGATTTGGCACAAGTCCACCTTGATGATCCGCCCTGCCCGGACCAGCCAGACCACTGAACCAGGCCGCCCCGGGTGCAGTGCCTCGCTCTGTCCCAGGTCGCCGTCCATGGGGCGTGCTGTCTCTGTGGCTGGCACCCTCGCGAGCCCCTTGAATCGGCCCTTGGTCTCGCCCCTCTCCTTGCGGAAGCAGCGCGCCCACATGCTTGGCGCCACGGACTTGAGCGCCTGGTCCTTCGCGTTCTCGGCTCGGCTGATGCGCCGCATGTAGACCTGCCTCAGGTACTCCTGCGCCGCCGCGTACATCCTGGCGCAGTTCTCGCCGTACTCCTTGTCGACGCGCTGGGCCTCGACGTAGGGCAGCTCGTCGAAGTCTTTCTCGAAGAAGTGGCCGTCCAAGCCAGGTGCCCTGCCCAGGGCGTGCCGAAGAGGGGAGTGGCCTCGAGCATCTCCTCGAGCGCTCCTGGCTGCTCATGCCCTGGCCAGGGCTTCCTCGGTGGACATCTCGGGGCTCTCCGCGGCTAGCCGGTCCATGGTCCCTTTTGTGGCCTGGGTCGCCTCTTCTGCAAGGGAGATGTGCCAGTGGGCTCGCCCTGGAATCGGCTCGTATCCGATGGAGTCGGAGTCGAAGTAGTCAGCAGCCTGCTTGGACATCCACGAGCCCTCAGGGTCCGCCTTCACCTTCTGCGGTTTCCCAGACTATGGCAGCCAGCGCTCCTCGAAGAAGTCCTTGAGGTCGGCCCAGACTGGGTTGCGGTGCCGGTCCTCGCCCACCATGTGGTAGAGCAGCTTGCTGACCCGCACCCTGCAGTTCTCGTCGATGATGAGCGGGAACTTTGACTTGATCTTCTTGCAGGGGGTGCTCCCACTCGAACTGGTCGGCCTGGATGTGCTTCCACTTCGGGGGGAGAACCTCGAGGCTGACCCGCGGGTGCGTGGGGCGGTACTGCTTCGCCTCTTCACACGCGTCACGGTGAAAAAGCCCTGGGCCACCTGCAGCACCAGTTGGCTCGCCCCCTTCCGCCTGAGTGCGTTCAGCATAGCGGTCTTGGAGCTGTGGCCTGACCCTCGGTGTACGGAGGCCAGCCAGCACATGATCTGCTGGTACTCCTTCGAACCAGGGTCTGCCCCTGTTGACGTCTCTTCTCTCCCAGCGGCTAGCGCCTGTCCCTCCGGCGCCTCGGGCTCCGTCAGGCACCTCAGGAACTCGCGGTAGTCTGGGGAGACCTCCTCGATCATCGCCCGGACTGCCCTCTTCGCGAACTCATCCGTGTAGTAGCTCGTGGCTGCCGTGAGGCTGCCTCCGGTGAGATCGCCGTGCTTGTGGCCCCCGGGGCACTCCAAGGCCATCCTGGCCGCCATCTTCGAGGATGTCGTGGCGATCAGCCACTCCTTGAGCAAGGGCTGACTCTTCTCGTTCTTCACTCCGAGCTGGCACCCGGCGACCTGGACCACCGTCATCGAGCAGTCCTCGATCATCTGCCTGATCATCCTGTGGCCCCAGCCCTCGCACTTGATGGGCCACTCCCAGTGCGCATGCTTCCCCTGCGCCCTCTGGTCGCACACCAGCTGCACCGCGGCCCTGTATGCCTTGATCGCCTGGAGCCTGCCCTTCCTGGTGGCCTCGGCCCTCACAGGGCTGGTGCCGTTGAAGCCGAGGGTGAGGCTCGACAGTGGCCCACGCTGCATGCCGACCCACAGGTGGTCTGGCTCAGCATCATCACGAGCCTCCCTGGCCCTCTGGTTCCCGGCAGGTGTCCCGAGTCTGTGGCCATTCCATGCACTAAATCGCCGTACTGCATCCTCTCCGAACTTCTCCGCCATCTTGGTGCTCAGGATGGAGGCCAGGCTGCACGCCACTTCCATGAGCTTGATCCCCCCATGGGCTAGCAGCGCGTTGAGGTCCTCCGTGTGTCCATTCTCCTTGATGCACTTCGCCAGCCATCGTTGCTTCCTGGGGTCCAACTCCTTCGTGTGGTTCAAGCCCGGGCCAGACCACTCGGACTGGAACCCACTGGAACGAAGCTCTCGCCGTTGGAGCTCGTGGAGCTCGGCTGCCCCTCGAGCTTCTCCAGTCGCTGGCTGAGCTGGCTCAGGGTGGTCAGCATCTGCTGCTGGATGAACTGGTTCGTGTTCTTCTCCTCCTGTGCTGCGGCCTCCAGCCTCTCCTGCTCCTCGAGCTCGTCCTCCATCATCACGTCCATTGTCCTTCGGCGGGATGACCTTGCGCCCCCTCGAGCCTTCTGCGGCTCCGTCGGGACCTCCCCGGGGTCCCCAGGCATCTCCTCCCTCACGTGGACAACCTCCTGTTCGTTGAGTTATGAGATACACCTGGTTAGTTTTTAGCTGTTTCCCGTGTTCTCTTCTGCCTGGCACCAGGCCGCGTAGGAAGGGTACTGCTTCAGGACCTGCTGGTACGTCACAGCGCCGTACTTCCCGAAGCCCATGTCGTCGGTCGGCTCCGGCGGGTGCTTCTGAAGAATCGCCTTGCGGATCGAGAGCTTGAGCGACGGGTTGGTCATGCCCGGTGTCACGTGAGCTCCGACTTCCGCCGACTTCGCGAGCAGCTGGGCCGTCTTCATGGAATTGAGGCCCCTCATCTCGATCTGCGCGGCCGTCTCCGCCTTCGGGAACATATTCTCCTTGAGGACCTGCTTCAGCTCGTCCACGCTCCACGCCAGACTGTAGGGCATGCCAAACTCCTGGAGTAGCTGCGAGACCTCCGCCTTGTGGAGTCCCTGCACCGCACTGCGTGACGTTGGCATTCTGCACGCTCGAGCCGCACCTGCAGACCGCCCCAACACAGGCGAGCGGCACGGCCCCGCGGAGGAGGCTCCCCCAGTGCATCGCTCTGCCATCGACGGCCCTTGGCCGGGTATATGTAGGATCCGGAGGATCAGGGACTGCTGGTCGCTGCACGTGAACGTTCGCGTCAGACGCGGAATGCCTCGTCGGGCTCGAGCCTGAACGGCTGCGGATGTGCCCGGGCTCTCCCCGTGTGCCTCGACAACCGTCCTGAGGAGAGTTGGGGGTGACGTCGCCGAGAGAAACAGATGACGATCGATCCATGCATGACCCGACTCGCTCTGCGCAAACGTCTGGGCTGAGGTCTGGCCCCTGGCACGCTGCCACGCACGCCGTGCTCCACTCAGAGAGGTGGTTGCAGATCATCTTGAAGTTCTGCAGCTTGGCCGGGTCCCGGACCTTCTGCTCGAGAAGGTCGTCCACCAGGCTCATGTAGTAGTGTCCGCCGTCCGGTGACTCCTCTAGCTGGATCGAAACTCCCCGGGCCAGCTTCACGAACACCGCTACTCCCGTGTCGCAGTCCACGACGGCTCCAAGCTTCTTCAGCACCTTCTTGGACACTAGGATCGGGACTTCCTTCGCGAAGCCGTTGATGGAGATGTCACCCTCCATGCCCCCGCCAGTGATGCCGAACTTCACCTGGCCGTAGGCGCGCTCCTTCTCGCCGTTCCCGAAGCTGTAGACCGGCGGGTAGTCCCAGTTCACCTCCCGCAGCCTCGTGTCGCCGTACTTCTCCGTGTTCTTGCGGGCCAGGATGTCGAGCGCACGCTCGCCGCCCATGGCGTCCGTGCAGCCTAGGTCGACGATCCCCTTGCCCTCCTGGATCGCCTGGTCCGCGAACAGCGCCTCGCACCTCGAGTCCCCAGACCCCTGCTCAGCAACCCTCGACGCCACCAGGTTGAACCCCAGCTCCTTCCTGCAGCTCGCCATCTTCGCGCCGGCCCCCGGCGGGCCTGCCGGCCCCGACTCGAGCCCGGGGGTCGTGGCGGTCCCGGCAGTCCTGCACCCAGCGAGCGCCGCCGCACCTCGCGCACTCCTTCTGCCCCCTGTTCGGCGGCAAGACCTGGCCCCTGGCGCCGTGCTGGGGAGGCATCGGCCGACGTGATCCCGCTGGGAGTCCACGGCCAGCTCCCTTGCCATCAGGTCGTCCTCCACGGCAGAAGCCCCTGCTCAGGCGGCTGTCCGCCTGAGCCTCGCGGGCCTGGCGGAGGGTGCGCTGGGCGGTGTGGGTTGCCGCCAGCGCCTCCGCCTCTTCGTCCTGCGCGGCCAGGTACGCCGCGATGTCCTCGTCGTTGGCCCCCCCTTGGTCGGGCTCCTCCGCGAGTGGCTCCGGAGGTTCTCGATCAGCTGCGAAACTCCCCGCATCTGGTTCGCCCTCGGCACCGTCTAGCCATGTCTGATCATCCTCTCCAAGCTGGGCCGCGTATGCCCTCGGGTACTTAGGATGTCCATCTCTCTCTTTCTGCCAAGTCGTCGTCCTCCCAGCTGGAGATCAGCTTCTCGCGAATCTGGTTGACGTCCAGCGAGCCTCCCGTCGCGGTCATGACCGCCGCGCGCTCACGTGAGTCGAGGCCAGACCGCACGAGCATCAGCCAGCCGAGGACAATCGCTGGGAAAACCTCCGGGATATTCCCGAGCTCCTCCTCGGCCTCGGCGTCTGGGTCAGCAGCACTGCAATGCTGGGATGCCTCCGTAGCGTCGTCAGGTAAACCGTCTGTGTACTCCCACTTCCATTCGAATCCATCCCATGGCTATCCCCTTTCGACCTGGATCCATCTGGATGGTCTCTCCGGCCTTCTTCCTGACGATGAGCTCGGGACTGGGACTGACTGCCCCAGTGCGCGCGCCAGCGCACGCCTCAGGTACTGGTAGCCTGTCTCGAAGCGGTCGGTCCACTGCTGCATGGGCTCCATCTTGCGGCGTTTCGTCTTGATCAGGAAGGTCTCCAGCTCCTGGCCCACGTCTGGGACGGCCTGGCGTGAGCAACGTCGTTCCAGCCACGCCAGGAGCCGCTCTACGCCATCAGCCCGTGATAGCCATCCCGCCTTGCAGCGCTCCACCGCCACTTCGGCCCGGCCCGTGAGCTTCGCCTCTAGCCTCGGGCCGCACAGGTACCGCTCCTCACGTTTAGTGCCCTCCTGGTACTGGAGGGCCTTCCTCCTGTAGGTTCACCAAGTCTTTGGATCTCCGTCCCAGCTTGGCACTTTCCACCGATGATCTTCACTTATCGTAGAACTTCGTGTCGACCACGAAGCTCCGCTACCATGCAAGTGGTATACGGAATTGCGAAGTGGTGTATGATTCTAGCTCCTTTCCTTGAACTCCTCAAGCTCAAGCTCGACTCGTCGAGCTTCCATGTCTATCCGCGCCTCTGAGCGCAAGCGAGGGGGCGCTAGGGCCAAAAAGGGCAGCAGCACACATATGGATGAGCCCTACAAAGCACCTCACTCACTCATCTTATAATCTCCCATCTCCATGCTCAGGCTTGCTCCGAACCAGATCTGCAGACTTGGGGCCCTCTTGGGGTGCTCCAGGGCTCCAGGGCCGTCTTAGAGGCCATCTTGGGCGTCTTTGAGGCCTCTTGGGTCGTTTTTGTGCCCTCTTGGGGCCGTCTTGAGGGCCTCTTGGGCAGTTCTGAGGCCGTCTTGGAGGCCTCTTGGGCGCTGTGGGGGCGATCTTGGGGGCGTCTTGGGCCGTCTTGGGTCGTCGGAAAGCCGAGAACAAGCGAATGCGAAAATCCTTCAAACACCACCGGCAAATCAATGATTTTGGCATCTTCGGGCTCTCCTGGAGGACCTCTTGGAGGCCTCTTGGGCCGTCTTGGAGGCCTCTGGGGGGCCTCTTGGGCCGTCTTGGGCTGTCTTGGACTCTCTTGGGCCGTATGGGAGGCCGTCTTGGACCATCGTGGGCGGACTTGGAGGCCATCTTGGACCATCTTGGAGGCCATCTTGGGCCAACGTGGCCATCTTGGAGACCATCTTGGGCCATCTTGAGCGAAACATTGGGAGAATTGCGGGCCTTCCGGGTGGCCGGCAGGACGGGCCGAAGCCCCAGGGGGGGTTCTTTTGGAAAAAAAACAAAACCAAAATTCATAATTCAGCACGCCAGGCACCCCTGCGATGAATCGACGGGGGGCGGCGGATCGAAGACGCCTACGGCGAATCACCGCCGCCCCCTTGCCTTTGTGGAAGTGCCTATGTGGCCGAACGTTGAGTCCAGACCTGCCAAGCTATCGGACCATGTGTTCCCCGAATCGGTTTGGAAAGCCTTCGGGGAACACGTGGGCATCTTGAAGGTCATCTTGGCCGCCTGGAGGCCGTTTTGACCCTTTCGGGCCTTCTTGGAGGACGTCTTGGAGGCTCTTGGGCCGTCTTGGAGGCCATCTTGAGCGTCTCGGAGGCCTCTTCGGCCGTCTTGGGGGCCTTTGGGGGCCGTCTTGGGCCTCTTGGGTGATCTGTGGGGGCACTTGGGCCGTCTCGGGCCGTGGGAAGGCCGAAACAAAGCAAATGCCACAATCCTTCAAAAACTCAAGGGAAATCGCGGATCTTGGCCTGTGCGGGCCTTCCTGGAGGTCCTCTTGGAGGCCTCTTGGGCCGTCTTGGGCCACCTTAGTGCCATCTTCGGCCGTCTTGGTGGGCCCCTGGCCCGTCCGACGCCGTCGGAAGCCGTTTGGGAGGCCTCTCTGAGCCGATTTGGGGCCCTCTTGGAATGCTCCATGGCCGTTTGGGAGGCCATCTTGGGCGTCTTGAAAGCCTCCTGGGCCGTCTTGGGGGCCTCTTGGGGCTGTTCTGGGGCCATCTTGGAGGCCTCTTGGGCGATCCTTGGGCGATCTTTGGGGGCTCTTGGGCCGTATCGGGCCGTGGGAAGGCCGAAACGAAGCAAATGTCAAAATCATTCGAACATCTGCGGGACAACAGTGTTTTGGGCCTTTTCTGGCCTTCCTGGAGGCCCTCTTGGAGGCCTCGGCCATCTTGGTGGGCTCCTGGCCCGTCTGACGCAGTCGGAAGCCGTTTGGGGGGGGGGGGCGATTTGGGGCCCTCTTGGGGTGCTCTAGGGCCGCCTTAGAGGCCATCTTGGGCGTCTTTGAGGCCTCTTGGGTCGTTTTTGTGCCCTCCTGGGGCCGTCTTGAGGGCCTCTTGGGCAGTTCTGAGGCCGTCTTGGAGGCCTCTTTGGCGCTGTGGGGGCGATCTTGGGGGCCTCTTGGGCCGTCTTGGGTCGTCGGAAGACCGAGAAGAGGCGAATGCGAAAGTCCTTCAAAAACCATAGGAAAATCAATGATTTGGGCCTCCTCGGGCTCTCCTGGAGGACCTCTTGGAGGCCTCTTGGGCCGTCTTGGAGGCCTCTGGGGGGCCTCTTGGGCCGTCTTGGGCTGTCTTGGACTCTCTTGGGCAGTCTTGGAGGCCGTCTTGGACCATCTCGGGCGGACTTGGAGGCCATCGGAGGCCATCTCGGAGGCCATCTTGGGCCAACGTGGCCATCATGGAGGCCATCTTGAGCCGTCTTGGAGGACAAATTGTGCAGTTGAGGTCCTTTCCGGCACCCCGGCGGGACGGGCCGAAGCCCCAGGGGGAGTTCTTTTGGAAAGAGAACCAACACCAAAACCGAAAGGGTCTGGCACGCCAGGCACCCCTGCGATGAATCGACGGGGGGCGGCGGATCGAAGACGCCTACGGCGAATCACCGCCGCCCCCTGCCTTTTTGGAAGCGCCTATGTAGCCGAACGTTAAGGCCAGACCTGCCAAGCTATCGGACCATGTGTTCCCCGAATCCGTTTTGGAAAGCCTTCGGGGAACACGTGGGCATCTTGAAGGTCATCTTGGCCGCCTGGAGGCCATTTTGACCCTTTCGGGCCTTAACGGAGGAAGTCTTGGAGGCTCTTGGGCCGTCTTGGAGGCCATCTTGAGCATCTTGGAGGCCTTTTCGGCCGTCTTGGGGGCCTCTTGGGGCTGTCTTGGGCGCCTCTTGGGCCGTTCTGGGGCCATCTTGGAGGCCTCTTGGGCGATCCTTGGGCGATCTTTGGGGGCTCTTGGGCCGTGTCGGGCCGTGGGAAGGCCGAAACGAAGCAAATGTCAAACTCATTCGAAAACCTACGGGACAACAGTGTTTGGTGCCTTTTCTGGCCTTCTTGGAGGCCTCTTGGAGGCCTCTTGGGCCGTCTTGGGCCAGCTGCGAGCCACCTTCGGCCATCTTGGTGGGCTCCTGGCCCGTCTGACGCCGTCGGAAGCCGTTTGGGGGGCCTTTCTGGGCCGACTTGGAGCCCTCTTGGGGTGCTCCAGGGCCGTCTTAGAGGCCATTTTGGGCGTCTTCGAGGCCTCTTGGGTCGTCTTTGTGCTCTCTTGGGGCCGTCTTGGGGGCCTCTTGGGCCGTCATGGGGCCATCTTGGAGGCCTCTTGGGCGACCTTGGGGGCCTCTTGGGCCGTCTGGGGTCGTCGGAAAACCAAAAAGGCGCAAATACCAAAATCCTTCAAAAACCTAAGGAAAATCAATGATATTGGCCTCTTCGGGCTTTCCTGGAGGAAAACTTGGAGGCCTCTTGGGCCGTCTTGGAGGCCTCTTGGGAGCCTCTTGGGTCGTTTTGGGCCATCTTGAGGCCACCTTAGGCCGTCTTGGGTGCATCTTGGGCCGTATTGGAGGCATCTTGGGGCCATCTTAGCTGTCTTGGAGCCCATCTTGGCCGTCTTGGAGGCCTCTTGGGCCATCTTGGAGCCGTCTGGAACAAGAGAAACCCTTTGCAACCACCTCTGGAAGATCTTTTGGCATCCTTCGGGGTGGCCGGCGGGACGCGCCGGAGCCCCAGGGGGAGTTTTTGTTCCCCATATCCTAAGGATTGGGGTTCTTGTTCCCCATATCCTAAGGATTGGGGTTCTTGTTATTACTCTGACGCCTCCCACTCCTCCTCCTCCTTCTTCCTCCCGCTCGCGCCTCCCTCCTCCCAATGATAATCACCAGATAAGACAAGACAAGATAAGATACTACAAGATAAGATAAGATAGCTCAAGATATGATAAGAAGAGATTTCAAGATAAGATAAGATAAGTTAAGCTCACACTCACACTCTCTCATGATCACAAAACGCTGCCAGGGGCATCATTTGGGAGCCCCAAGGGGGAGCCACCCTGGCTGATCTCACGAGCCCGTTCGCGCCGATTTTGGTGGGACGTCTCAGCTAGAATTGCCGTTTGGCGCCCCCAACATGTATCTCTTGAGAGCCTCATGGTCACAAAACGCTGCCAGGGGCATCATTTGGGAGCCCCAAGGGGGAGCCACCCTGGCTGATCTCACGAGCCCGTTCGCGCCGATTTTGGTGGGACGTCTCAGCTAGAATTGCCGTTTGGCGCCCCAACATGTATCTCTTGAGAGCCTCATGGTCACAAAACGCTGCCAGGGGCATCATTTGGGAGCCCCAAGGGGGAGCCACCCTGGCTGTTCTCACGAGCCCGTTCGCGCCGATTTTGGTGGGACGTCTCAGCTAGAATTGCCGTTTGGCGCCCCGAACATGTATCTCTTGAGGGGCTCATGGTCACAAAACGCTGCCAGGGGCATCATTTGGGAGCCCCAAGGGGGAGCCACCCTGGCTGTTCTCACGAGCCCGTTCGCGCCGATTTTGGTGGGGCGTCTCAGCTAGAATTGCCGTTTGGCGCCCCAACATGTATCTCTTGAGAGCCTCATGGTCGCAAAACGCTGCCAGGGGCATCATTTGGGAGCCCCAAGGGGGAGCCACCCTGGCTGATCTCACGAGCCCGTTCGCGCCGATTTTGGTGGGACGTCTCAGCTAGAATTGCCGTTTGGCGCCCCCAACATGTATCTCTTGAGAGCCTCATGGTCACAAAACGCTGCCAGGGGCATCATTTGGGAGCCCCAAGGGGGAGCCACCCTGGCTGATCTCACGAGCCCGTTCGCGCCGATTTTGGTGGGACGTCTCAGCTAGAATTGCCGTTTGGCGCCCCCAACATGTATCTCTTGAGAGCCTCATGGTCACAAAACGCTGCCAGGGGCATCATTTGGGAGCCCCAAGGGGGAGCCACCCTGGCTGATCTCACGAGCCCGTTCGCGCCGATTTTGGTGGGACGCCTCAGCTAGAATTGCCGTTTGGCTCCCCAACATGTATCTCTTGAGAGCCTCATGGTCACAAAACGCTGCCAGGGGCATCATTTGGGAGCCCCAAGGGGGAGCCACCCTGGCTGATCTCACGAGCCCGTGACGAGAGAGAGAGAGAGAGAGAGAGAGAGAGAGAGAGAGAGAGAGAGCAAGAGAGAGAGAGAGAGAGAGAGGAAGCGAGAGAGAGGGAGAGGAGAGAGAGAGAGAGAGAGAGAGAGAGAGAGAGAGGAGAGAGGAGAGAGGAGAGAGGAGAGAGAGA